ATATCTGTGTGGATCCATGGGATATCTGTGTGGATCAATGGGATATCTGTATGGATCAATGGGGTATCTGTATGGATCAATGGGATATCTGTATGGATCAATGGGATATCTGTGTGGATCAATGGGATCAATGGGATATCTGTATGGATCCATGGGATATCTGTATGGATCAATGGGGTATCTGTGTGGATCAATGGGATATCTGTGTGGATCAATGGGATCAATGGGATATCTGTGTGGATCAATGGGATATCTGTGTGGATCAATGGGATATCTGTATGGATCAATGGGATATCTGTGTGGATCAATGGGATATCTGTGTGGATCAATGGGGTATCTGTGTGGATCAATGGGGTATCTGTGTGGATCAATGGGGTATCTGTATGGATCAATGGGATATCTGTATGGATCAATGGGATATCTGTGTGGATCAATGGGATATCGGTGTGGATCAATGGGATATCTGTATGGATCAATGGGATATCTGTATGGATCAATGGGATATCGGTGTGGATCAATGGGATATCTGTATGGATCAATGGGGCAGTTTTATGGATTGATGTGATCTCCTCCCACACAGGTTTTTCTATGGATATTTGAGATATTCCTAAAGATATCTGAGACATTCCCATAGATATCTGAGATTTTCCTATGGATATCTGAGATTTTCCTATGGATATCTGAGATATTCCTAAAGATATCTGAGATATCCCTATGGATATCTGAGATATTCCTAATGATATCTGAGATATCCCTATGGATATCTGAGATATTCCTATGGATATTTGAGATACTCCTATGGATATTTGAGATACTCCTATGGATATTTGAGATATTCCTATGGATATTTGAGATACTCCTATGGATATTCGAGATACTCCTATGGATATTTGAGATATTCCTATGGATATTTAAGATTTTCCTATGGATATCTGAGATATTCCCATGGATTGATGGGATCCTCTCTCAGATGGGGTATTTCCATGGATATCTGAGACATTCCCATGGATTGACGGATCCCCTCCATCCCTCTCCTCCCCACCCACAGAGCTGCTCTCCAGAGGCTCAGCCTGACCTGTTCCCTTATTCCCAAGGGTTTATCTTCCAAGGGTTTCCCAGAAAAGCTTCCAGCAATCCCTAAAAGTTTGCTGAGGATAATTTACACGGAGCAGCCACTTCCATTCCAGAGGGCCGCCGAAAAATGGGAATTAGGCTGAAACAAACACCCAGATTCATCCCAGGAAGGGATAATCCACCCAATGCTGGAATGAGGTGCTCCAAAAAACCTTCACAACCTGGCTGAGGGAAAGATTCTGGGAAGCAAAATCTCTAATTTGCACCCCCAGAGACAGATCCCAGCGTGGAAAAGGTGAATTCCCAAAAATCAGGCAGGTGAACATGAAATATTTCGTATTTAAGGCACCGATGGAGATGTTTGAAGCCTTTTAGGGTGAATTGCTCATTCCTGTGGGAGTGGAGAAAAATCCTGGCAGCTCCTGCAGCTCCACAGGGGTTCCCTCCACAGTTTTAACCAATTTCTCTGCTTTTATAGGAAAAAAAAAATCCTCCCACGTTCCTGAAGTGCCTTTTGTATTCCACAGGATGGAGCTTAATCCTCTGAGGCCGAATGTAAACACAGGAACCGCTGGAGCTGAACTGGAATTTTACCTTTCCAACCCCATTTCTGTGCACTTTGTTCCCAAATTCCTAAAATGGGACATCACAGGGAACAGCTGGGGTTTGTTTTTCCTTGGAAGACACAGGTTTGATGCTGTTTGATGTCTCCCTGTTTTCCCTGGATTTGATCCAATTGCATTTGATGCCATTTCTTTGAGGCACTTGGCTGTCAGGGTAATAAAAGTTTCTCTTTTCTGCCCATTTTTCTGGGTTTTTAGCAACATTTTCCAGTGGAAACACACCCTAATAATAAAAAAAATCCTTAAAAAAGCCAGGAAAACCAAGCAGAGGATGGGAGCCCACCCTGCCAGGCCAGAGGGGAAGTTTTCCCAAATCCCACCTGCTACAAAACCGCCAGGAAAAACCCGTTCAGCCTCAGGGTGGAAGGAAACTTTGGTTAAACTAGAATTTTTTTCCCCATTTCCCAAGACAGAAATAACCCAATCCCAAATTTTCATCGTGGATTCACATGGAGCCTGTGGGCACCACGCTGGGAGCTCTTTTAACCGAGTTTAAACCCCAAGAATTTCAGGGGAACAACTCAAAAATCACAGCCAGCCTCTCCCAAACACTCGGGGATAAAAAACCGCGAAAGATGCGGGATGTGAAATGGTTCAGACAGCACCTGGAGCTGAGTGTTCCAAGGGGGAAATCCTGGGAAAACTGACCGGAGGCGTGGGCAATTCTGTCCCAGGGCGTTGAGGATGGCGTCGGTGATGTTGGAGCAGCCGGAAGCACACAGGGACTGCAGCTTGTGGCAGCCCCTGCAGATGGTGATGAGCCCGTCGTCCGTGATTTGCTGCCAAGGAAACCACAACAGCCTCAATCCCGGCAGGATTTCCCTCTCTCCATTCCAAATTCCAGCTCTTTTGGCCCAAAAAATTCCGGATTCCTGCTGTTTCGGCTCACCGGAGCAGCAGAGGGAGGAAAAACCTCACTGGATTTGGGAATATTTGCAGGGAAAGGTTTTGGAGCTGGGCCAGGTGAGGGATGGGGAAAGATGCTGCGATTCCTGCAGGGCTTTGCAATTCCTGCTTGGAAAGATGCAGGGAGTCTGTCCATCCATCCCTGCACACTGGGGGTCTGTCCATCCCCATCCCTGGACACTGGGGGTCTGTCCATCCATCCCTGGACACTGGGGGTCTGTCCATCCATCCCTGGACACTGGGGGTCTGTCCATCCATCCCTGGACACTGGGGGTCTGTCCATCCATCCCTGGACACTGGGGGTCTGTCCATCCCCATCCCTGGACACTGGGGGTCTGTCCATCCCCATCCCTGCACACTGGGGGTCTGTCCATCCATCCCTGCACACTGGGGGTCTGTCCATCCCCATCCCTGGACACTGGGGGTCTGTCCATCCATCCCTGCACACTGGGGGTCTGTCCATCCATCCCTGC